TGTGTCTTCTCTTTTTCTTCCTCTTCTTTATTGTTTGGTTCTTGTCTTCCTTGTATTTTCCTATTTTTTTGTCATCGTTTTTTTTTCTTCAACATTATTGTATTATCTTCTTCCTCTATACTTTTTCTGTTTCAATTAGTCTTCTTCATCCTCTGCATTTTAATTATTTTTGATCTTCTTTGTCTTATCCAAACTTTTCTTTATCTTGTTTTTATATGTCTTTTTTTCATATTCACCTTGTTCTACTTCATCTTCCAGTTTTTTTTCTTCTTGTTTTACTTGATTTTCCTAATCTTCCTTTTTTCCTTTTTTCTTCTTTTGTTTTCTTCTTCAACTCTAACTTCTTAATCGATTTACCCTTATTCATCTTCATTAATTCGTGTTGCCCATGTTTTTCTTATTCCCCATGATTTTATTCATCTCTATGTTCGTCTTTTTTGACTTTCATCACCAACTTTGTTTTCTTCTTCTTTATGTTTGAATTGCCTTTTTCTCCTCTTCTTATGTTTCTGTTTTCTTTTCCTTTTTGCAGACAACTTTATTTTTGTTTCTATAATTGTATAAGACAACCATTACCAAAAAAACTAGGGAGGATTACTCAAGTATCCTCCAAACCAATGTTTAGTAGACTTATAATTATTTTGGTGATGGTAGACTTATGAAGCTGGTTTATAGTAGACATTTGACTTTTTAAAAATTTGAAAAGACATTTTTGCCCAAATTTGTTCGTAAATATTACAAAAAAACCGATTGTGTCATCTTCTTCGATCAGGGTTGCAGCCGTCGAAGTGTTATACTTGAAAATTCATATTTTAAGGTAGACAAGTTATTTGAATAACCACTTGTAGTATACTTATTTATATTTTATAGTAGACATATTATTTGAAGTAGCATTTGTAGTAGACTTATTCACATGTTTCATAAGCAGATCAGGGTTGAAGATGCCAAACTTTTGGCTGTGCAAGTTATTGACGCAGATCGGTCAGAGGTTATTGGCACAACTTCTGCCCATGTTGTCAATTTGAAGGAAAAAACATGTACCTGCCGTCGGTTTGATCTTGATAAAATCCATTGTGTACATGTCATAGCCGCTGCGGAAGCAAGAAAAACTTCACGAATCTCCCTATGCCATCCCTACTACCAAACAAATTGCTTGCAACATGCTTACGCAGGAAGTGTAATGCCAAGAGATATAGCACTACCAGTGCCAGAAGAAGTGGCTAACAAAAATTTTCATCCTCCTTTCGTTCGCAATCCTCTAGGCAGACCAAAGAAGACACGCATTAAGAGTGCATTCGAGATCGCGACAGCGAACAAACGTCCAAGACAGATGCCTAAATGCTCTACTTGTGGTAAAAGTGGACATAATCGCATCACATGTAAAGCCTAAATTTTCTACTCTCTTGTAATAATCGGTTTGTTAGACTTGTAACACTTGCTTCATTTTTGTACTCTCTTCTAGTACTTGTATCGTCGTACTTTTTAAAAAAAATTGTTGTCAACCTAATTGATGCAAAATATTCCAATAATTAACCGTTTTAACATTAAATATACCAAACTTTCAAAGAACCAACATCATGCCAAAAAAAATCATGGTCTTTTTAAAGTCTAGTTCATCAACATGTCCTAAAAGAATCCTCCATAGAAGTCTTCCGTCGTTAGGGTTCGACGTACAAAGCAATAAAAGTCTACCTTCGTCAGGGTTAGACATAACAAGTCTACCGTCATAACTGTTTGACATACAAAATAAGTCTACCACTCTCAATCATTTATGAAAACTCTTCTTCTGCAGAGGTGATCTCCTAGGCGGAAATAGTGTGGATGGGTACTCCTTCGTCTTGCTAGAAGAGGCCATCTCTGCATATATGTAATAAGAATTAGTCTACCATTCTTAATCAATTACAAACAAGTCTACCACTCTCTATACGTATATGTTTACCACTCCTCAATCATTTACGAACAAGTCTACCACTCACTATACGAATATGTCTACCACTCTCAATCATTTATGAACAAGTCTACTAAACTAAACTCTATCTTTACTGAACATGTCTACCACTCTCAATCATTTATGAACAAGTCTACTAAACTAAACTCTATCTTTACTGAACAAGTCTACTACTCTTTCTGCGTTTTCGAACAAGTCTACTACTCTTTCTCATTTATGAACAAGTATACTACTCTTTATAGAAACAAGTCTACTACTCATTTTATATACCAATAACAAAAACTCTGCATAATTAACAATAAATCGACCATAATATAACCCTAACTCACCGCAGATCTTCACCCTCACCGGATTTCCTCTAACCCACCAGGAATTTCCCTAATACATGCAAACAAAAAATTAGGGTTAGAGTTTACCGAACAAAAACGGCGCCGCAAGGTAATTTTCGCTGTCTAATCCTCGCTGTCGAATACTAGCGCCGCAAGGTAATTTTCGGAAAGTAATTCTGGCAACTCCTCGAAATCTGCAGACAACTCGAACCCTAGAAGTCGTCGTCGAACTCTGCAGATGCTTTGAACGGTGCAGAAACTTCTGTAAACAAAGAGGAAAGAACATAGAAGTGTGAGGAAGAAGATCTTACCGGAAAACCTTCAATCTCCGCCGGAATCTGGTCGAGAAAGTTCGTTCGTTCCTTTTCGCTTTCGCCGTCGCACTCGTCGCCGCTATCATTCTTTTTTTTTCAGAAACCAACAAGACTCCCCAATCTTAACTTAACCTATTTCTATTTTTATTAATATCTCTTTAAAAATAAAACAATATAACTAAAAATGGCAATTCTGTAATACTATGTATCCTCGGGTTAAAATGGACTTTGACAAGCTTATTAAGGATAGTCTAGCAAGGTAGACTTATCCAAGGATACTCTGGCAATAAACCATGCTTAGGAGGATAGTTTCATGCATTAACTCAAAAAAACTATATGAAAGCTTAAACTTACAGTATTTGTCAACCAGATGAAATTGAAATTAGAAATATGAAGAGACAAACTAATGACGATATAGAATCGAGAACTTACATATCCTTGAAAGCTCTCTCTCTCTCTCTCTCTATATATATATATATATATATATTAATAATTAATTAGATCTCCCTTGGTTCTTTTTCAAATATATCCAGCATGTTCTTCTTCTTTTAATTTTCATTCATGAAAGATATATTTCACAATGGTTTAGTCTTGTCTGATTCCTATTCTCATTCTCTCTTTTATTCTTTTAATTTAGCTATACGTTCTTCCTAGCCGGAACTCTCAATTGTCTCTCGTTCAAAATTGCCACATGCCGATACATGTTACACCATACAAAAAAATGAATTCTGCTTTACAACTTTTAGAAATCAATTTCTTTTATCTATTTATTGAATATTTTGATGAACAATTGAATGATCCCAAAATTCATATCCCAACGGGCTACAGTCAACTTAACTTTGTTTTTCTTTTAATTACGAGAATACAGTGAGAAGAGAGCTCTAATAGTCGTTACAAAAGCTTGGTTATCGCCTTCCCTCTCCGCCTCATTCCTTAGCTCTCACCAGAGCTTCTTCTACCACTATATGATGCTGTACCATCTAACTCTTTTGTAACATCTCACTCTCACTGTTCCTTCTTCTATTTAAATATCAGAGATGCTCAACTTTGGCTGCTTGATTAGCAGACCAACCAGATGAATTCTCTTCTCTTTGGTCTTGTGGCTGGTTTCTGCAGGTTCAAATAATTATTAACATATAAAAATTTATCAAGTGATGTACGTAATGCAGTGTTAGTTGAATTTCAGTCCGAGTTCAAATTTCCATCGCTTCAAAATTTTACAGTATCACGATATGCGTTAATTATAAACTAACTAAACCAAATAAAAATAAAAAAAAACTAAACCAAAATTGGTCAAACTATGGTCGTTAAAATAAAATTCTTGATGATAAAAAATAAACCAAAAGATGCCAAAGAAAGGGTTAAATGATATACATTTTTATTTTGTTGATTTTAGGGTTAAATGGTAGACTTGATATTAGATCTATACCAATATATGATAGTACCGGTTTAAGTTTTAGTGATTATGTGATCACTCCAATCATTACTTCTATTTGGTATCAAAAACATTCATTCATGGAAGGTCTTTTTTCTTCTTTTTTACTATTAATACATTTATCATTGACACACATTATACTTGTGGAGCCCATGTATGTTAATCAAACATCGAAAATTATTGGTTCAAATATGAAATAATTTACATCCACATTAGTTTAATGAACAATTAATGATAATTAAACAAACCGCCATGTCAACGCATAAAAAAAAGCATATGACATATCAGCATAAAAATACACATAAAATTACTCTGAGAACGACATATAGATTTTTGACTTCGCAAATAATATTATAGATTTACACACATTTATATTTCACTACAAAAAAAAATTGATTACTGTTACAATTATATATATATATACATATATATATATATATATATATATTTCGTCACAAATTTTCTATTGTGACGAAAATATCACAATTTACAAAACATCACAATAAAATAATCACAATCTTATTTTCGTTAAAAAAACGTTACAACAGTTTGTCACTAATAATAACTGTAACAATTCGTAATATTTTGTGACGACCTTTAAACAGTTATAAAAACGACACAATTAATGTCGAAAAATATTGTCACAATTACGCAACAAATTATGACAAAAAATTGTCACATATCTGTCACAAACTATTACTATATTTAAATCAAAAAATCATCATAAATTACGATCAAAATAGTTTCACAAAAACCGTCATAATTAGTGACTAATTTATAGTTAGAGAATCAACACAATTCATTACCGCTGTAGTCACATTTTTATCATAAACTATTACCATATTTTATTCAACAAAATTTTAAATCAACAAAATTAGCTTATATAATTTAAATTTAAATTAAAAAGAATTTAACAAATACAGCAAAAATATAATTGTTCAAAAAAAAACATAATATCAAAACATCATGTCAGTCTTTGAGAATCGTAGTCGTCCACACTCAGCTCATTTTCTTACATACCACATACCACATGATGCATATGCTTCACATCCCACTCAGCATTTCCAAAAATGTTTCAGCAGTCATGCTTTTGCCGATCAAACCATTTCATAATAACACAGTGCAGCGTCGTGCAAATGAAACATCAGGGTTAGGTATGTAAAGCTAAGACTAGAAGAGGTTCGTTAAGTTACCAATGAGTTCCGTCCAAGCCCAAGCTTGTTCTTGATGTCTTCCATCTCATAGCAAACAACGTAACCTCCCTCACCTAGTTCATTGGCAGATTATTAGTTCATAGCTCATACCACTAACAATATAGGAAGATAAAAGAAACACCAAGACTGCTAAAGAGTCTCTTTCCACTCACCAAGGCATATCTCTCTGTAGACAGTCTTTGCGCCAAAAAGAAAGATATCTGAATCAGAGCTAAAGCAGACGTCTGATCATGAAAACCATAATTCATTATTGACTATTAAGTTAAGAGCATGACGAACAAGAAACTAATTAAAAGCTGCAAAAAATTTTCTTACACAAGGATATCAGGTTTAACAGAGCACATTGTGCCTCAGCTTCCTCAACCCTGCATTTGAAAGAGAAGAGGATCTGTATTTTGATATACTTGTAAAATTGCAAACTTGGCCTAAGTAAAACAAACACTCAAACCAAACTTGACCTATGTGTTGCAAACTTGTTCTCATTGTCAGTAAAGTTTTTCACTTTTGAAAGAATTACCCGTCTAAACAAAGTATCCCCAGTGTTGAAGCAATAACTTTCGCCTCTTTAATCATGCAGGAGAAATCAGACCCCATATTTCTTTTGAATGAAGTCTCTTTTCTAGGCTCAATGCCATCGTCAGCGACCTGGCTTTACCAATAAAGCATTAAATCGAAAAAATAACCCCAAGAACTAGCAATCATATGCCTAATAGCACTAGTGCCTCATTTGGCACCATTGTACCTCGAATCTTGATTTAATCGACACCTGTAAGTCGGTACTTGGATTCCAGGAACCGAAGCATCTACAATTAAGTCAAGTCAGCATAAGAAAAAACATTCCTTAGAGCAAAGCATCGATTTTGATCACTCATGCTTCTCCCATAACTATGCCTCACAGTGACAACAATACAAAACACTGCATAAACAACAGACCCACCAAGGAAACAACACAAATCTTGCTACAAACAAACGCAAATTCGTTCAATCAGTAGGCTAATTTTACCTGAGACTAAAATGACGGAGCAGTTAAGGGCAATTAGGCCACGGAGGCGATGAAAGAGTCCCTGGAGATGAAAGAGTCCCAGGTAGTACAGATTAGGGAAGCCATTTTTGATATTAACCCACATAAAGCTTCAGGATCCGATGGAATTTCCATAACCAGTAAATTTTATTAAAAATTCTGGCAAGATTTTCACCATGACATAGTTAAATTAGTGAAAGATTTTACACATGTTTCCAGAGTTACTCGATTCGCTACGGCACTTTGTGCATTTCCTCAAGGGTGGCCTAAAGTTCTGCCACCGAATTGTAGTACGGAATCATCTCCATAGTCGACCGGGTCTATGAATCTATTCTAACTCTCAAGGAATTCTGTGAGATCCCGCTCCCTTTTTCCTTAACCGGGAACCAAACGGACCGGCTATCAAATCCATGAGACCCCGAATTTGTTTTTCATCTGGATTGGTTATCAACTTTGAACGCCCCCAACCGTCCCTACCAGTGAGCTCAATGCCGTATAATCTAGGGCCCAACGTCCTCTCACTAGGCCCGTTGGCCCACCAACCGCTCCTACCAGTGAGTCCAACGCCTTTCTCTCTTAGAACCGTTGGCCCACCACTAGACGGTTGGCCTCTTTTTAGGTCTATGGGCTCACCCCTGTCCGACGGTCGGGAGTCGCTTGGTCCGAGAGGCTCGTAAGAGTTGTCTACTGTCCCTGCAATCACCACATGATTTTTCTCCGTGCTTTGTCCTCACTTGCACGGTACCGCATACTACTTCCCGGTAGGTCACCCATCCTGAGATTACTCCAGCATCAGCATGCTTAACTCTGGAGTTCCCTAAAGACATTTGACCGGAAAAGATAAGTGCACTTTGATGACATAGGTAGCCAAATCAATTCTTATAAGCCTTTTTCACATATACCGGAAATCAGGATGTCACAATTCTCCTCTACTTCCAAAAAATTCGTCCTCGAATTCTCAACCACGTCCCAAGACGCTACCCGGGTCAGAGCTGGTTAGCTAATCTTGGGCTCTGATACCAATTGTGAGACTCTGCTCCCTTCTTCTCTAACCGGGAACCAGACGGACTGGCTATCAAATCCATGA